TTTGACTTATTAATCTTAGTTGTTATAATTTGTGACAATAATTTCCCAACTCTGTGTCTTTTATTCCTTGGTATACTTATTTATTTTTATCCGTTTACAGTTCTCTCTCCTTTCATTGGTTAGTCTGCATACTTTTTTTTGTTAATTCAAAGAAATAACTCTTGAACTATTGTAAAATATTCAGTTATGTGTTCATTCTCTAGATGTCTCTTGTAATTTTGTGAGTATATAAATGCAGGCTGTTTGCCTTTATTCTTTCTTGTGTAATAACATGAATGATGAAGGCCACACATGGAGAAGTCACACTGTCCGACAGACAGAGCCAGAGGACCCTGGAGGTAGAGCAGAGGGTTGAGTGCTGTAGGTTTTGACTTACATCTATTTCCAAATATTCTTTAATACCATTTAAATTTTCTTCAACTTAAGATGAGACATGCTTTCACTTTCATTGAAAGTGTGCTTTCAAAACCCTTTCTTGCTCTTACCTTATGATTAACTTTTAATTCATTGAATTGCTTCCCACAGTGCAATCTAAATTCACTGATTTCACTGGGGTCGTAATTTGAGTTATTTTCCTGCTAAAGTGTGATCAGGTTTTTATATTTGGAAATATTTGGGTATCATTCATTTTAGTCATTGATTGGGATCATTTTTATCTGTAGATCCAGCTAGTTGCCTCCTGTTCCTGTTAGCTCCCATTCATTGTTGTTTCCTAGGCCTTTTTCATCTGCAAGATGACTTCAGTTTTGTCTGTCTGTTTTCCTTTCTTTACTTTCTCCAGACATTCTCTTAGCCTTTTATTCATCCTGTGTATTTCTTTTTTTTAGTAACCTATTCTAATATTTCTTCCTTTTATTGAAAATAGATTTTTTTTTCTCAGATAATATATATCCTGATTATGGTTCCCCTCGGCTCTTCCCCACCTCCCCTCCCATTGTCTGGATCCACCCTCTTTCTGTCTCTCATTAGAAAACAAGCAGGCTTCTACAGGGTAATAATAAATACAGTATGATAAACTTCTTCCCTTAAGAAGCATGCTATAGTGTGTTAGCATCACTTTAACTACTGAATCCTAATTCTGATGTTATTAATAGCTTCAAGTTCCTAACTAGGTCAACTCCATTGTCTCCAAACTTGTCTGAGCTCTGTCAAAGACACGGTTTTTCTTTCTTTTGTTTTTTTGTTGTCAAGCCTTGGCTGTCCTGGAACTCACTCTGTAGACCAGACTGGCCTTGAACTCACAGAGATCCACCTGCTTCTACCTCCTGAGTGCTGAGATTAAAGGTGTGCACCACCACCGCCTAGCAACAGCATTTTTCTTATTTGGGAAAACACTTGTGTTCTAGAGCTACCTCCCTTATTCTAAATAGACTTACTTTTTTTTTTTTTTTGCTTTTTCGAGACAGGGTTTCTCTGTGTAGCTTTGGAGCCTATCCTGGCACTCGCTCTGTAGACCAGGCTGGCCTTGAACTAACAAAGATCCGCCTGTCCTCTGACTCCCAAGTGCTGGGATTAAAGGTGTGCACCACCAACGCCCAGCCTAAATAGGCTTTCTATTTTCTTTGTATGGATTTTATTTCCACAAAGGGAATCATTTTTCACAGATGTTTCAGATCTTGCATACACACACACACACACACACACACACACACACACTTTGGCTTTCTTTTCTTTGTATGGCTTCTAATCTTTGCCAGTAGATGATTAGTGCCAACTATATTGGGTTCACACTCAAATTTGCCATTTAAAATTCACTGTGCTGGAATTTTGTTTGGTTTGAACCTGTGCTAGTTTTGAATTGATTCAACTTCAGCAAATAAAGATCACCCTTGTTAATGTTTTTGGTTCTGCTTTGACTAAGAAAGAATAACAGGAACACTCAGTGACATGCTGTTTGAAATCAATATATCATCCAAGCTTCCTTTATTTTTATAATGTCTTACACTAGTCTGCTCAGATTTCCTTCCTCTATCCCATGGAACTGATTTCATGGGCCACTCACTTGAGTGGGGCCATTTGACTTCTTTCGAACAATACATTTGAGTGGAAGTGACTGTCATCTATATGCAGCAGCTGAGAACTAGCCTGTGCTTCTGCCAAGGCTCCTTGCTTCCCATTATGGTGTCCGATGCTTTATCAGTGTGGAGTGCAGGGATTCTCAGTACCTCTATATTCAGCCTGAAGGATGCATGAAGGCAGTGAGCCCTTCTTTAAGCCCTTAGGACTTGGAGCTCATTCATACAGCGTCACAGCTTAACTCAGAGACCTTTCCTTTCAAACGCTTTTCCAGTCACATATCACTAATGATGCCTTTAAACAGCAAGTTCTAGAAGTGTCCCCTAATTTGGTCCCTGGATCATAAATCTGAATTGTACTTCATTCAGCGTAAGTAAATAGAAACGTTGCAGCAGTTCACAATATTTGTGCTCCTACTGATATGAGGGGGGAAATGAGAGAAAAATGAGGTTTTCTGCTCTCATGTTACTGTTATTTTGAGTCATTTTTTTCCTTGTTGAATATAGTAATTGTATTGATGACGACTTTAAAATGTATGGTCTTGGGCTTACTACACTGTTTAGGCAGTTTCTGAAAATGTGCTTCATTGGAGATGAAATAAATTTTTTTCTTAGGTCATAGTTAATCTTACACTCTAGGAATAAAGAATACATAGGTTCAAACTTTGAACAGAATTTAAAATTCCTTTTGTAATGCATTAAAAACAAAGCAGGTAATCCAACGTTTGATGCCTGGTTAGGATGAAATGTAAAAATCATTTGAATTGCTGTGGATATTTGAAATGCTTTTGTTGTGGAGCAGTTTCTGCCCAATTGAAACAGTCCATACTCAAGAGAGGTTCTCTAAGATTCAGGAAGTAACTAAAACTTACAAGACTCAGGAAGTTCCTAGAACTTCACACAATTCACAAGGCTCCTCTTCATACATAAGCAGTAACATTTGTGGCGAACAGAGGATTCTCCCACCAGTCAAGCTGCCCACAAGCCATACAGAGAACTGGAGGGATCTAGCTTTCATGAACTGTCCTAGGATGGGTTTTTCAGTGATACAGTTGCTTTGGGTTGTCCATTCTCCTCTATGTAACCCCTCACCCATACTCCTGTAAGTAACCTCAATAAACTCATTGCTTCTCTAAGTTGAACTTTGATCTGTCATTGGTTCACTATCAGAGGTGAGTTGTCCCAATCTCCCAGGAAAAGTCACACAACACTTTTTGTTTAAAAACACAAGAGACTCCAAATTTATAGATAGATAACAATAATAATAAACTCAAACTTTGATCCTTGGATTCATTTAATTCTTTATCAGTTGTTTTCTTTGTTTTGACAGTTTTCAGTGTATTCATAATGCAATAAGACTGAACATGGCTGGGCCTTTCATCACAAACAAGTTACCCTGGAAATGTCATATTAAATTAAAATAAGATTATCATTAATACTGGAGAAGACAAATGAAGACAGTGCAGTTAGATGTACAGAGGGGGTGTGGAGGGAGGGGAAGAGGAAGAAAAGGAAGAAGAAAGAGGTGGGGACAACAGGAGGAAGGGAAGGAGAGGGGGGAAGAGAAAGGGAAGTGGGTTGTATATCAGAGACTAACAGAGGGCCTGAAACTTGGATTGCATTTCCTTCTGAGTAGATAGTGGTTTAATAAGTTGGCCGTTTCAGCACCATCCCTTGGGGGCATTTGAACACATCACTAAGTTGCCAGATTTTTGGCTCAAGTGTCAGCATCTACTCGTAAAACATCTCGGACCAAAAAAAAAAAAAAAAAAAAAAAAAAAAAAAAAAAAAACGATCCAAACAGCTTCTCATTTTTCTGCTTCCTGGCTTCAGAGTCTTTATTCACACTTACTAGATTGCCTCCCTTTAACAGAGTAGATGGTCATTTGCAAGTGCGGACTGCCATTTGCCAGTCAAAGCCAAAGCCTTACTGATGCTCAACAAATGAGCTTTTGCCTCTTTGAATTTATGACTTACAAAGGCTAGTTTTGCCTTAAGGTCTAGTCTTCCAGTTTGGACAATATGCAGTTTATTTTTATTTTTTAAAGTTTTTTTTTTTTAAGATTTTTGTTTTTAATGTATGTGGATGTTTTACCTGAATGTATGTCTATGTATCATGCCCCTTGTAGATCAGAAGAAGGAGCTGGTACACCACCCCCAACCACAAAAAAAAAAAAAAAAAAAAAAAAAAAAAAAAAATAAAAATGTAAGCCACCATGTGGGTGCTGGGAATTTTACCTGGGTTCTCTGGGAGAACAGCCAGTGCTCTTTAACTGTTGAGCCATTTCTCTAGCTCAGCTAAGTAGTTTTTATTTTAATATAATAGCAGGGGATTTAAAATCCCAAGAAGGGATTACAAGTTTCAGTCATTTAGAATATTCAGGTTTAAAAGTTCATTAAAGTTCTCTTAATTATTGGGATTGTTCTTCTTAAATTAATAATTAATTTTTAGTTTCTGGTGTTCAAATTAAACCCAGAGCCTTGACAAATGTTCTACCATTGAGTTACCTGCCCAACCTAGGTATTGCTGTTTCAAATCTTGTCTGTAACTGGATGGTCACTACAATCCTATTGAACACATACAAGTTCACGTACTCCATTAACATAATGTTAGAAAGTCTGAAAATATAACTATAGAGTTATATGCAATGTCCTTACACATACAGAAATTTTGGAATTCATATAGGAATCATAACTTGTGCCTCCAACTTCGATGTCTCTGGTTCTTCTAAGTGTGTGTTCTTTCCTTTCTTAATACAAATTAATTTTCCCCTAAATATAATGAATTCTATTTCTTTTTAAATAAAATGAGACTTTGTTTTGTTTTTTAGGTGGTTTGGACACCTCAGTAGTGGCCTGCGCTTTCCTGCTCCAGTCTGATTTGTGCAAGATGGACTAAAGCTGCATATCGTCTGGTTCTTTGTCTGGGAGTTGGAAAGAGGTTTGGGATGGTCTCATGTGCACATCCCTAGAGTAATTGCAGCGATGAGTTCAGACGAGAAGGGCATATCCCCTGCTCATAAAACATCCACTCCGACCCATAGAAGTGCCTCCTCTTCAACATCCTCTCAGAGGGAAAGCAGGCAGGTAGGAGAAGATTCTCACTGTGTTTTATCGTTTTCTGCAAACAGAACCCTGTTTGGATAGTGTGGGATTGCTAACTGAATCTGAAAGTTTGTTGTGAAGTCCTTTACATCACAGGTTACCCCCTTGTTTTGTGTGAAACTGTTACACTGGCTTCTCTTTGTTTTGTTTTGTTTTGTTTTGTTTTGTTTTGTTTTGTTTTGTTTTGTTGTGAGGGTGGGGTGTTCAGGGTGCAGACAACAGAATGGAGCAGGGTTCCTCTGGGAAGCCTGTTCTTCTCACCATGGACACCTGGCTATGGAGCCAGTATCAGGACTGTGATGTTCAAGTATCTCTTCTTCAGCAAGGTGCAAAAGAACCCATGAACCCCCAGGAGACTTTTTGTAAGATCAACAATGCCCTACAAGCTGTAACCTCTGCAAGGTTCCTTGGGACCTAGTCACTGTCAGTCTCAGGAGTTAGGAGACAAATGAAATTGTAGTGTCCGGGAACCTTGAGCGGCAAAGACTGCGCAGTTTTCAAAGGCAGCAGAGGAAGTACAGTGTCAGAGCTGATTTATGGTAGAACGCACCCATTGTCCCATTTGATCCACTTCTGTAAAGCTATTTTTGTTTGCAGTTGCTGCATTGGTGTTTGGGGGACTGCTCTGCTGTCATGGTTATGAGGGGATCTATCATATAAATGCTGCCAAAGACACAACAGTGGCGTTTCAGCCAGCGCAGACAGGAATAACAGTTTTCCATAGTATGTGTCTTACGATAGTAATTTGGTTGTATAAGTGGAAATTTACAAGGATGCTGTCAACTTTTTATGGGAATTTTCCTTTGGGTGAGTTTTACTTAGTGAATAGTCTTGCAAGGTTCCTCACAACTCTGCACCATTCCCATTAATGTAAAATATCAGTTTGGTGTTTTCCTTTTTCTTTTTGTGTTTGTTTGTTTTTTGCTTTTTTGACACAGAATCTCACATGTCTGGCTGGCCTGGAACTGACTGTGTAGCCAAGCTGATCTCAAGCTTTCAGCAATTCTCCTGTGTCAGCCTCCAACTGCTGCAATTATAGGTGTTAGCCATGGTGCCAGGCTGTGCATCAGCTGTTAATAATTCATTGCATGTGTGTCTTTAAATGGACAACTCAGATATGGATCCACAGCAGTGGGAATGCATGTCTGTGGGTATTTTGGAGAGAACCCTCAACCTCAAGCCCTCCCAGCATACCCTTGCCACTTAGAGCGAGAAATTCCAGGGCAGTCTGTACAAACTGGTGATTTCATATGTGTTTATTTCCCCAGATCCTAATGCAGATATTCCAACTACAGGGTCTTGGGGAAGTTTTTAATGCTGGTGCCTTTTGTTACAGTGTTCAAGATACCCATACACTATCTTAGCATTACCTCTGCCATTAACTAATAACTAAATCTGTGGTTCCTCGATGTTGTAATATTTAGTGCAATGCATTTGTAGATTTCCAGAGTCTCAGAGTACTGTGAAGGAAACCCTTGGTGTAAAATAACTATTGCATGCTGAGATGTCCCCTAAGTTGGCAAGGCTACCCTTCACCTGCCTCTCTGTTCTTTCCCTTTGTGAGTTCTCTATTTTATCCCTTGCTCTGAGCATTTAAACTGAGGAATTGTAAGTCACATGGCCTTCCTGGTTGCTAAGGAGCAGGAAGACATTGACTCAGCTCACCCTGGAGACCTGTGGTAAATAAAAAAAGACTGATGACTGCTATAGAAACAGCTGTCATGCCTTGTTGATCTGCCTGCTGCACCTGAGCTCTAGGCCCCACGTGCAAATAACAGGAACACTGGAGACCCCGGGCTTGCTGCAAGCCCCCTGAAGGTAGAATGGATGGCTCCTGACTGGCTTGTGAGTGGAAGTCTGGTGAAGGGAAGAGGGTGTGTAAATTGATATGAAATTTAGATAATAGACATCATGAAAGTACTATTTTGTTTGTATGTTTGCTTGTTTGTTTTGGGACAGAGTAGCACATGCCTTTAATCTCAACACTCGGGAGACTGAGGCAGGCAGAACCAAGACCAGCCTAGGCTTCATCATGAGCTCCAGGCTAGCCAAGGCTGCATGGCTATTTTTGTCATGGTGTATCTCAGCAGGTGGAAATACTCCCAAAGACGTTCTCCTCTGCTTCATTCTTGACTTTTCTTTTGTGCCTGTTCATCTCTTTCAAAGAGAAGAAGAGTATAAAAGATCATCCACTTTCCACCTCACCTCCATCACTATTTACAACATGGAATAAATGTAAAGGACTTGGGAGTTTGGCATAAGTTGTGATGGAATGTAGTATTTTTATACGCATCTATATTGTACAAAGGCACAGAAGAAGTGAGATAAATTATCCTTCATTCGCTCTTCTCCTCCCCTGATTGTCAGACATCCATACAGATACTGCTATGATGCACACTTCAACTGTCTTTCTCCTAATCACATAAGTGAAGGATCTAGCACACAGCAGAGAACGCAGTAGTATTTTAATGCACCTTATTTACCTGTTGTTTGAAAGTTCTAGGTGCACAGTGCTGATGAACTCATTAAGCATTTTGCTTAGATGTCCCACTCGCTGACCGTGACATAAAGCAATATGTATAAGTCAGTTTGTTATCAGAGAACCATTTTCAGTGGCACGGGATCTGTTCTGTGTCTTCCTCCTTGGCTTCACCTAAAGTCCCTAGATCAACTCTGTAGATCATGTTCTTCCACTAGAACATCATTTCCTTTTGTTCCCACTGTCAGCTCCCCTGCCCAGACTCTCATCACCTTTTCCCAGATTCTTGTGAGGACTCTTGCCTCACCAGTGCCTTCAGAACCTCATCATTTCAAAATCCCTGAATATGGCAGTCAGGAAATGTTTCAAAGGCTTCCTGTTCCCTATGAAAGTAAAACCAGATTTCACAACATGTACATTGTGTATTGTGATTCCTAAGTCTGCCCCATCTGTATCGCTTCCTTCTCTTCCCTGAGTGGAATACTACCCCAACCTCAACCTCCACCACCTCCACTATCTAATGCTTCTTAGAGATCAAAGATGGCTCATGTGAGGCTCTCACTGGCCATTCAAAACCACATTCCCTTCTCCTTTACTGACCTTGTCAAAGAGCGTTTGGATAATTTCTATAATTGTTTGCTTTGTTGATCTATGAGTTGATCTTCAACATTGTGTTGTAAACTTTTCTAAACAGGGTATTTTTGAAAGCTTAGGATGCTATTAGTCTTGTCTTTTTATTACAAATTTTCCATGCCAGATTTATTTGCCCTCTTCTTTCTTCCTCGTGGATAAATAAGGCAGAGAACATCTGTGCATAGTAGCACTTGGCTGTCTTTCCTGTCACTAAGTGATGTAGCATAGCAGATGAAAAGCAGAAGACGGGGGTGGGGGTAGGGGGACATGGTGTGACTCAGTGCCTGGGATTTTACTAAGTGTTTCTTCATCCAATGATAGGGTCAGGGGTCCACTTAGTCCTTAACAAGCTCAAAGGCTTCAGTATGTACTCCACTAGAAGTTTTCCTTGACTCTGGTACAAGATGTTAGGACACCTAACATAATTGCCTGTGTGATTGGCCATACCTCACAGCTTCACTATATAAACATGCCATGAAACTTCCAGAGTTGATTAGACATCTAAGGCTTTCTCGTGAGCCAGCATTCCACAAATAAAGCTTGTCCCTTGAAGTGTATGGAAATGAAAGTTTTTTTAATTAAGGTAGTTGAGACGAACAACATTTCTTCGGTACTATATATCAATTAAGATTACTGTTAAGTTCTGAAGTAAAACCTCTGGCTAACCAAACACCTCTAGAATTTAGTAGATTCTGAAACTTTTTTTTCCTGATATTTGTCTATTAAAAATATCCAGATTTTTCTTACATTTATAAACTGGAAGATGTAGGGACACTGTGCCCAGATCCTAAATGGCAACACTGATTGTCTCAGTAGTGGCTTCCAGCTTAGATGGGAGCATTTTCTACCTGATGAGCCACACGGTCTTTGTCAGTTACTCTAGTATTTATTTTATATGGACTGCCTGGCTCCTGATGTCAGTAGGCCTGTGCCTTAATATTTAACTTATTCAGGAAGATGCGCTTCAATGCTAATGGATCTTAAGGTATCCTATACCGAATTTATCATTCTCCTCTCAATGCTGCCTCTTTTCAATTTCCCTCTCAGTAAATGACAATTCTCATTTCCATGGATATATCCCAAGATTCCTGGAAATATCCTCGGGTCCTCTTTGTCTCACATTTTGCTTTTGACCAATAGAGACCTCTGTAGATTTTTCACCTGACCTGATAGTTGCCTTTTACCTCTTCCCCTTCCATTCTGGTCTCAGCCACCAAGGTTCCTCATCTGGAATGTTGCCATAGTTTTCTACTTGGTCTTTCAGTTTCTTCCCTCCTCTGTCACACAGGGCATTCTTTACAGGATAATCAGAGTGTTTTCTTCAAAATCCAAGGTAGACTGAAGTCTTCTCCCCCAAGCCCTCCAGGACATCCAAATGACATTGAGTTGCTGAGCATTGACTATGAGGCCACTTATAATCTGGATCTGCCTAACCCTCCAGCCCCTCCATCTCATGTTTTGAGACAGGGCCTCTCACTGAACTTGAAGCTCATTGGTTGACTAGACTAGCTGCCCAGTGAGCTTCAAGGATCTGCTTTTGCCTCTCCTCTCCCACCACTGGGACTGCAGACTCATGCTGCTAGATAACTGGGTTTTTCTACTGGAGTTCTAGACTGAGAACTGAACTTCTCATGCTTGCACAACAAGCACCTGATCAACCAAACTGTGTCCCAAGTCTTTAGTAGTTAACTTTTGTTGCTGCTAAAACAAAATCTTTACAAAAGACAAGGTAGGGAAAAGGGGGCAGAGTCTATCATGGGGGGGATATATCATTTGGGAGTATGAGGCCACTGGTCACATTGAATCTGCAGTCAGGAAGTAGATCTTCCTTCTTCAGTTCATCCTCACAGGCATGCCATGGGCATGTTCT